TGCCTAGCAAGCACTTGCCTATCGGAACCATTTTTGCACCGCGGAAGGTATTTCACTTGTTAAGCTTTTAACTGAAATTTGGACCTAAACCCCTTGACCCCTTCAGCCACTTACCTGAATCCAGCACCGATGTCCCTCGGCGCTGGGTCAGGCTCCGCCCACGCTCCTCCCCAACCAACGTCAGTTGGCAGGGGAGACCAAACACGCATGCGCGCATTAGACCACCCCATAGAAAAGCATTATTCAATGCTTTCCTTTGGGAAAATCTGATGCTGGATGTCCATTTAGATTCCGGAAGCCCTCTAGTGGCTGTCTGGAACTGTAATGTTTTACATTGCAGCACTAAGTGCAAAAGGGTCACAGCACAAAGACAACTTCAATTAGCTGAAGTGGTCTGGGTTCCTACAGTGTCCCTTTAATAGAGTAAGGCATTTTTTAAAAATCAGCAACCAACATGTGTAAGTGCACTAAATACGAGCAACCATCCATATTTAGATATAAATCATCCAAAAGTAAAAGTTGAGTTGATCTATGTCTGTGACTGACGTGATCGGGGTGAGGATTATACAAGAAGTGAGTCAATCTGGGTAAGGTATTGATGGAGTAAAGGGCAGGTAATAAAATTGAGTCAATGCCAAGAAGATTACACATCCAGGGAAAATATACTGACGCCAGCAACTAGCTATAGACAGCATGATGGTATGGATGGAATGTTACCTGAAAAAGCAAGATGTTCTTTACTAGTAAGAATTTACTTTAGTACACTTATTTTTTATTCCAAATGCGAAAAAAAAAAAAAAAAATTAAAAAAGCTGTATGTTTTACCAACAAGGTGGTGTTTCGTTTTATTTTTATTCCACTCACAAATTTAAAAATTACCTTTATATGAAATTATTCTGGAACTGGAGTTCAAAGGGTACCTGTCTTGACAATACAACTTAATCTTAAATGATAGATAATCAGATTTCCCCGATATAGTGTGCTAGCCAAATTGCTAGAAAATTTCTCAATAATCAGATGTTAAAAACAGCCCTTCCTCCCTCCTTTGAGTCAGTTCAATCTGTGACAATTGTCTCAATTGGCATGCCTAATGCCAGGGAAACCCAGTACTGGGCATGTCTCCTGCTTGAATGCAGCCTCATGGAAATTAATTACAGCAAGGGGAAGGGGAAGAGGAAGTAGGGAGGAGGGGCAGGCCCTGTGTCAGAGCAGCATCAGCAACATGCACAAAGAGAGGAAAGAAAGAGGGACACATGTTTTATTTACACAAAACAAACAAACTCTCACAGATACAAACAAACACACACTCTCTCTGGCACACACACACTGACCCATGTAGACACACACACACAGGTATACACACACTGCAGAGTCCCATTAAATCTCTTGCCTTTATTTCAGATATTCAGTTGCCCAGATGTCTCCAGGACCAGCAACAGATCTACAACTGTCCTCTTCTCTCTCTGTATGACAAATGGACCTCCCCTCAAAAACAGTGATGGAGGGGTCCTTAAAGATTCCTATTAATTAGGAGGTTTACAACTAGCCCCCTTACTCCATCCTGAAGACAAAGGGTTAGATGATGGAGTAGGAGTTCTTCATCAGGCCCCTACCTACCCAATTTTTAAGCACTCCTCTCCTCCTAACATGTGGGTGCTAGCTGACACATCATGAAGCCAGTGATATATTTTTTTCCCAGGAAATTCAAAATATATCGAGCAGAATAATGGATGTTGGTAAATAGCTAAGACCCTACATCTGACATATAATTTGGCTTAATTTTAAGCGGACTTGAATTTTCTGGAGTTTGCATGTTTCCTAAATCAGGAATTGAAACAAAATCTAATTTTTTTTCTCATGCTAACAGCTCCATAAGTTAGCCCCTTGAAGAGAAAGGTTAACAGGTGTCATTTTGTATTTACACTACATTGCCTTTCAGCACTGCTGTAAGGTGAAGGATGAAAAGACCCCAAAGGCTTGATACATGACAGCTCCGTACAACTGTATTACCTTATTTTTATACCACTAACTATACAGTCTGAGTTCCACTCCCTCAAACTACCTGCATAAGAACAATTTGTTTCTTTTGTCATTGTAATTGAGAGTCAATTACACCCTTTCTCCTTTGGCAGCAATATGTACAGCTTTTTGTTCCCACATGATAAACAGTGTTTGTCCTGTCCAAGAATGTGCCATGGCAGCAAGATTAATTGTGCTTTACCCTAATCATATAACCAAAACATATCATTTCTAATGTTTAACCCTTTTAGAACACAGGTTGTTGTTTGTTTTTTTAGTTTTGCACACAACAGGTTTGGACACAGTTGCTGTTTTTGAATTTATTTTGTGATTTACTTATTAAACTAGCAGTTACATCTTTATTTTTCTTTAAATGTAAAATATAATGTGAGAACCTTATATATGGGGATCAGTTCCTTAACTCAATTTTCCCTCCAGGATTGAACTTTTTAAAGAGAGAAATTATAAAACATTATACCAAAAAGTACTAAACATTTATTATTTTCAAATGTTATTTCCAGAAATAGATTATAATGAATTCTTTCTATTTATCCTTTATCTGTTATCTATACTATATATATGTGTGTGGATGTGTCAGATATTTGGGTAACTTGAAATTTCCAGATTATTAGAAGCCAACTGTATGGTTGATTTGGCTTTGAGTCTCCATCCTGGCAATGTCTTATGTATTATGATGAGCAATAACAAAATCAAGTTTGTTTTACTATTAACATATTTTTGATCGTTCCCTTCAGCAACAATTACTATCTACATATTGGAAGTTGCAGGTGTTTTGATAATTTTTCTGGATCCTCTGTCGTATCTTAGGTCATGGTACTAATGTAGTCTTCACCCCAACTTTAACCTGACTCTTGAACATTGGAATATGGCAGCCACTTGTTTAAAGCCTACACACAATCAAATATATGATAATCCCAATTTTGGAACATGTATGCCTGATTTGTAGTGATCAAATAACTTATCCTAGACATATACCTGGATCCAATGGCATAAGGTACTTGGAATAGTTGTAGACATTTTTGTTGTTGTTCTATTTCTTTAATGTTAATTATAAATGTTTCACAAGTTTTCTGATTGGTTGACTGTAGCATATTTATATTTTCTGGTTTTTGTTTGTTTTTGCATATGCCTTTGCGTGAGAGTGCTTGTGTCATGTGTATGTTATTCACTCTAAATCATCTCAATACAATTGCTACTCAACGCATATGGTACTGCTATACAGGTTTAAAGGAACACACAAACACATTAACCATTACATTTCTAGAACAGTTTGACTTCTTATCTGGGGTCCACCAGGTACCTTTCAGTGAGCCAGAAACTCTCACTAAAACAGCTACCATAACCAAAAGACCATGCTGTAGTGGTTATGGTGGTTGGAGTGTTCCTTTATGGCAGATAGGCATATGCAAGATAACCTGCTAAAAGACATGATCATAGCCAGACTAGCCACTGTTATTACATTAAAGAAGAACAAGACTAGGAAGGACAGTTGGTATGTAGTAAAGAGCCGAGTAAGTAACGTAGAGGAAGATGCCATGAACTTGGACTAAAACCATATTACTAGTTCTACTTTCAGGGACATTTCAGATTGACATATTATTTTGTTTGATCTTTTGCGTTAAAGCTAAAGACTTATATCTTTTGATCTGATTGAAGACAGAGAGAAAGATGGAGTATATGACAAGACTAGTACATACTAGATTTGTGCACGGTGAATTATTCATCCAAATTAACAAAAATAACAGTTTACTCTTTCCTCATTTAATTTATTTTGTGATTAGGTCGTATGGTGATTAGAAGTTCCGGAACTCTGACGACCAAAATTCGGAAGAATCGCAATGCATTTGAAATGCACAAGTCTAGTGTGAAACAAACATTGACTTGTCCTTTGCGTTATCTGATTGTGGTGATGGATCTTACAGGGTTTGCATAGATATGCTATCTGTCCAATGCCGAGGGCATGAGAATTCTGCATTGCAAAGGTTGCAAATCATGACATTCACTTTGAACTTTGGTGCGTCTCACATATCTTGTGTTTTTAAAGAGCTAAACCTACCTTCTCAATAGAATATCCACTTGAGGCCAACTTTAATAGAGTAGAAGAACACCACATTTTTATTTGTATTTACATTTTTTCTTTTTACGTTGTTTTGCTTATGTCATAGTCTGTCTTTAGTTGTATTAATAGATCGCTTGTAGTTGTTTTCCTTAGCTCACAATGCAAAAAAATATAAAAATAAAGGACATTATAAGGATTCCGTCTCTCTAAGACACGAAAACCAAAATAAATATCAATAAAAAAAACAACTTGACCTAAGAGATTAACCAAACAACAGCTTTTCCAGTCTAGCACTGGATTAGTCAGCTAAGTTGTTTTCGAGTGATAAAACATACATTGCACTCTCATCCTCTCTGTATTTCAGAATTCATGCAGAAAGGCGCTCAGATACTTTACGTGCAGTCATTACAAAGGCCATTGAAAGTCATCTTGTGAAAATTGACTTTTACCATTTCCCCAGATTTAATCTCCTCCCACCTGTATGAAAAGATACAAGCAAAGTGCCTGCTATTTGGTCTCTTTGTGCTCGTTCGTTTAGAAAACTCGAGAAAACACTTTTTAGGACCTTAGGTGATGTCAACACTATCAATGCCAATAGTGAGAGGACAATAGTTTTGCCTTGAATATTATCAAAAATTGGTCATACTGTATATTTCAACCAAAAAACAAAGCAAAGCCAGACACACAAATACCACTTCTGTTTTGGTCTGTCTGCGTTTTTTCTTTTATTAGAATTCCCTTTGGTTCAGCATTAACCTTTTATCAGGAAGGTTGTGGCGCCTTGATAACCTTCTATCACTTGTTCTGTGTGAGAAGGTTGTCAATCCTGTATCTTAAATGGAAGAAAATAAATATCCAGACACACCTGAGGTGTCTTCTGAAAGGCAGTCTTTTCATTTGAAACAAGGAAGTGGAGACAACTTTTCGGCTCCCCTCTGAGCCTTTATCAATTCTGATAAAGGCTCAGAGAGGAGCCGAAAAGTTGTCTCCACTTCCTTTTTTCATATAAAAAGACTGCCTTTTAGAAAAACCATTGGGTGTGCCTGGATATTTATTTTTTTCCATTTGATGTCTTCGGGGATTGGAACTCCCTTTCTGGGGCACACTGTAGGAAGTATTCCCCCTTTTAGAGTGTGCATTTTACTGTTTGTTTGTTTTTTTTGCAAATCCTGTATCTCTAGGTATATAGTTCTTTTTTATACTAGACTCAAACATCAACAGGTTTGACACAATCTATGAAACATGCCAAGTATAAAGGGACATTATAGGCACCCAGGCCACTTAGTCTCAATGAAGTGGTCTAGGTCACTGGTCCCCAACCCAGTCCTCATGGACCACCAACAGTCCAGTTTTTCTCAATATCTCCATTTGAATAAAAAAGGGAAATACATAAATCCTGGACTGTTGGTGGTCCATAAGGACTGGATTGGGGACCACTAGTCTAGGTGTCATGCCCCTGGTTGCTTACCTCTGCAGTGTAAAACACTGCTGTTCTGCAGGAATGGCAATATTTACATTGCATAGTTTAAATGCTTCTAGTGACTGTCACTCTGAACACCAATAGAGACATAGCTGAGTAAAACTTGTTTTTTCTATAGTCACATCTTTGGGAAAGCATTGGATTGGTTAAGGTCATCAGTCTTGATATTCTCAGCCAAGGAGGTGGGATGACAGTGTGGAGATTGGTGTCATGAGGGAGAAAAGATGAGTAAGATTGTTTTATATTTTTCTCACAGGGCAGTATTGTGTTAGGAATATGTATTTGTATTCCTAACACTATAGTGTTTTCTAAATGTATTATTTTGTTTCTTCTCTTGTGTTAAAGTTAATCAAATAGTCTCCCACGATAGTTATTCACACATTATTATCATTTAAACTACATTATATAGCTTTCAAGCCCTCTCTACAAGCACAGATCTCCATATAAAGGTGCTTTAGTCTAGAATAGTATTTGCAAATAAACCAACATTTTGGTCACTTATAAAAAACCTATAAATATGGATCTTTACTTTAGATTATACTATGTAATTACACGATTTAATTAGCACCTGATCAATAAGCTCATCAATCATTTCTTTATGGTTGGGTGACAGTAACAGTCAATATTACTTATATATTTTTTTACCCTCAATCTTTTCAATTACTTTAACATAGTTCCTGGTTGTGTTTTTAATTATTTTCTTTTTGTGATCCATTAAAGCATAGCAGTAGGTTGTTCTGTAAGTTCAAATGTATGGCTGTTAATTACCAACAGCTAGATGTCAGTGGTTAAAAAACCTTATCGAAATAAAAAATCTTGTATAGTAAATGTTCTGACTAAATATTCAAAAACAAGTTTAATTTGTTTTTATGAAAGAAGATTACAATTTAATTTTTCATCATTCAAATATATATATATATTTTTTATTTTTTTTTCAGAACGTAAAAACCTAAACTGAAACAAGACATATTTTCAAGTGTTGTCAATTTCCATCTAACATATGCTATGGTCTTCCAGATAGTGTATCATTTCATTCAAATCAGATCAGGCTTTTGGAACCTCTGTTGAACATTTGTCGATGGGTGTTTCTTCTTTTGAATTCAACAGCCTGACTATAATGTGTTAATCAAATTCATATGAGTCGCTGTACTTGCAGAATGAAAGTGATTTGGAAACTACAAAGTGAGCACAGTATGTGAGACTGCATGTGGATTCCATTCTATCACAGTAGCATAGGAATTGTTTTAGTTATCTCTATTGGCGTTGGAAATGAGGTATGAAGGCAAATTAGAAACAATAGCTGAATACGATCATGTGTGAGCATTGCATGAATCAATAGAATCAATATGTTCTACTTGAGCAAATATTACTTTAAAAAAAAAAAACTGAAATGAAAAAAAATAGTGTGTATATTTCATCATTCCTTCCCAACTATTTTCTCACTTTTTCAATTGGAAATTTAAAAAAAATAGGATAGTTTAAAAATGAGTATGGATAGATCAGATATGATTCTTGAAATAAAAGTCACAACAGATTTCATATAATCACCATGATTTTCTTGTTTACCAAATCTATATTGAGCATTTTGTATTAACATGCCGTATATGATTTTGGTAGAAAAGTTATGTTCCCTTTTAAGTAGACTGTCATCTAAAACAAACTCACAAAATGCTCTGGGATTAAACTCCCACTACTCTTGGGCAGCAGCAATGGTTTTAGTATTCATCAGCCCAAATGCACAGAACAAAAGCACAAAAAAGTAACATACACACAATTCCAAATCCCTGTGCGTAGTATCACTCCAATGGCCATTAAAGTGCAAGCTCACCTGCCATGTCAAGGCAAAATCTCTTAGGCAAGTCTTACACTAGCAATTAACCTTGTTGCATTCAGCTGAAATGCAAAACCTATAATGAGACAGAAAGGGGTATTCTTACACATTTCTTAAACAGTTACTCCAACCACCATGACTACGTCAGTTATTTAAAGTGGTTATGGTTATAAAGTTTTTCAGCTTTAGGCATATGTTGAGATATTTGCATCCCCAGCACATGTTAGTTTAGCAGCCCAGAACCCTGTGTCAATTTTGTGTATAAAATATGTCTGTTGTCAGCGCAAACTGCACGTTGACAACAGACATTGAAATCTTCCCTTTGCAGGCAGAGTGCCGGCAAGGGGAAGCTAGCTCTCACTTCCCACCCTTTCCATGTGGGCGCACACTTTCACCTCCCTCTGTTGCACATTTGTTAACTTTTTTAAAAACCTCCCCTCCCTTCCTCTTCTGCCTTCCTTCCGCTCCTGGCCCATCCAGAGTGTGTGCATGCGCTCTGAGCAGTGGCGGATCCAGAGCCTGATCTCGGGAGGGGCATTTGTAGATTATTTAAAGAAATAATCCAGACACAATAACCACTACAGCTCAGTGTAGTGGTTATGGTGTCAATAGCGCCGGGACCCCTTTCCAGAGTAAGTAGTCAAACCGTTTAAGAACAGTTTGACAACTTACCTGAGGTCTGCTTGGAAATGGGGCAGTAGTAGGGCATAGGAGCAGTGGTGTGTGAGTGGTGCAATGTGTAAGGGGTGCAGTGTGTGTGTGTGTGTGTGTGAGGGGGAAAGTGTGTGAGCAGTGTGTGTGTGTGTGAAGGTTGTAGTGTGTGTGAGGGCGGCAGTGTATGTCAGGGATGCAGTGTATGTGTGGGACAGTATGTGTGTGTAACAGTTGCAGTGTGTGTGTGTGAGTGTGGGCAACGTGTGTGTATGGGGCGGCAGTGTGTGTGTATGGGGTAGTGTATGTGTGTAGAGTGTGTGTGTGTATGGGGGCAGGGCAGCGTGTGTGTATGGGGGCAGTGTGTGTGTATGGGGGCAGTGTATGTGTGTATGGGGGTGTATGTGTGTATATGTGTGTGTATGGGGGCAGTAGTATGTGTGTATGGGGGCAGTGTGTGTGTATGGGGGGCAGTATGGGGGGCAGTATGTGTGTATGGGGGGCAGTGTGTGTGTATGTGTGTATGGGGGGCAGTGTATGTGTGTATGGAGGCAGTGTGTGTGTATGGGGGGCAGTATGTGTGTGTGTGATAAGGGAAGGGGGGCTTTTTTTTATAATATATATTTTTTTTATTTAATTTAATATAAATATTCTATGTCCCCCCTCCCTTCTTACCTTTACTGGTGGGGAGGGGGACACTTCTTAGTCCCTGGTGGTCCGGTGGGGGATTCATTGGTGGTCCCAGTGGGGAGAGTGAACTCTAGCCCCCGCTTCAGGGCTAGAGTTCATTCTCGCGAGATTTGGAGCGTTGCAGTGGTAACCTCGGCAATGCTCCAAATCTCGCGAGAGGAGGACCCGGAGGAGCTGCAGCCTGAGCTCCCAGGTCCTCTCCTCCCTCTCCCTCTCCTGCTGGCTGCCAGCACGGTGCCTGCGGACCGGGGAGGGAGATCTCTACATGTGCTGGCAGGGGAGGGAGACCGTCGGATTTCTCGGGGGGAACGGATTTCCCGTTGCCCCCCCCCCCCCGGATCCGTCACTGGACCACACATGGCCCCTGTGACATCAGAAGGTGCGCGGAAGATCAGCGCACCTTCTGATGTCAGGAGCTTTGCACGGCGCTGGATTATAGGTTAATCAGGAGCTTTGCCCGGTGCTGGATTATAGGTTAGTAAAAACCTTTTTTTTTTTTTAGAGGAGTCCTTTTTCATAGTGCCCAGTATGGCATATTACACTGGTAAGGTCCACCTCCTCCAAAGGGTTAAAGTGACCCTTTAACACTTAATAGGGTACACATAGAACAGGCAGCAACTCTGTAACATAGCTGTGTAATACAAAAGCAAATAGAACAGAAACACACAAAATTTAGTCATGTGCTCAGCTCCAAAGATATAGAACAAAAGCAAAAAAAATTTACCTGTACAGTATCCCTGTCATTTAATAAAACTTGTTTATTAATTAATACTTTTACTTCTCAAAGAAGTGTATTTATACAAAATAATCTGAAAAACATGTGAAATGTGAAATATGGGGTTCAGTGCTAGCATATAAAAGTAAGACGAAACAGCAATTTATTTATAGATTGGTAGTCATACATACCTATTAATAAATGAATGCAGCTAATAAGTATGTACTAGTGTGCAGAGAATCCACCTTCCAGGTACTTTTCAGCAATAATGTACATAGGTAAACCAGGCAGGCTCCTGTAGAGCACCGTAGAATGAAAAGTGTGATGTCGTTTATACTCCATCTGAGTGATGCTCGGAGACTGAATGGAACCAGTTGAGGCCCAGCGCATGTGTGGAAGGGAAGTTAAGATGGTATTTATTTACTTTGTCTTCTTTTGCATTGAAAGCAATGCAGAACTAAACAAAGCCAGTGGATACACACTATTTGCAGTGATAGGGGTTGCATACCTCTCAAATGCCCCTATTTAAGAGGGACAGTCCCTATTTTGAGCTAAATCCCTCTGTCCCTCTTTTCCATCCTAATATCCCTCTTTTCTACGAGCTACATCTCGCTACTGCCTTTTGCATCCAAGAT